CTTTGCTGCAATTATGAAATTTCAGACATTTTGATGTACACACACTGCACTACCCGGAGCCACGTGTAAGACACCACTTCCCCCTTTGCAGTGTCTCTCCTTTGTTGTCCACAATACGCTGGTGCGGGCCGGCCAGAAAAGTTGTTTGGCTCGGAGAACACGAGACGAGTGTCCATGATATGGGAATACTCAGAACGAAACATGTATGTAAATGTTTCTGGTCGGGGAGGCTGCCAGCCCTGCCCGGGGGTTTGTCCTGGGGTCGGGCTTCAATTAAATTGTGTGGAAATCAAATTGCGCTTCTGATTATGAAATCAGATCCTCTTTTGGCAGCAAACTTCTGCATGGGGTGGCAAAGGGCAGCTATCACTGGGCAAAACATTAATTAAAATTCGATAATGGCCGAGGGTTGACTCAAACCTAAAACTTAATGTTAACGTTGAAAATATTGTACAAGTACAGGTCGGATTTCTATTAAAATTCGGATCTGTTTCCAATTGCAACCACATACATGTCTTGTTAACATTCGAATTTCGGTCCAGAGCGAAATATTCCGCAGGGTGTGGTCTAGAATACACAGAGAATAAAATAGGATCCAACATATATTGTAATTTGGAAATCTAAGGATTAAAGATAACCTTTTTTAAATTCAATTAAATTATTTTCCAAATAATTTTGCCTACATTTTTGTGTGATACACAATAAGTGTACGAGTATTTCTTATTAATTGTAACAATATTGAGATATATACATATATAAAATACAGACATTGTCTAATCAATAAGTAGGTATCGATGGAATTATTTCCCTTCCATTCCGGCCCTTCCCGGAGTCTCTTTTGCTACAAAACAGACCATAGTCTGATATTATTTTTGTCAAACAAAAACCTCAACTCTTTTCAGTTCTTTTTCAAGAAGGATGCCATCTTAAGGCCAGATGAAATATTGATTTTGATTTGTTTTAAGATTAGTCACCGGGTAACGACTCTTTATCTGAAAATTCCAATATCCCATAAAACTTAATTGAATGAATGGTTATAAATTCCCTTGGAATTGTTATTGAAAGTACATACCTACCTACATTTCTCTGCTGCCCCCTTCGGCCCCTCGATCCGACTGACAAATAGAACAGCAATAATGAAAATCGAAGAGTGGAGCTGCCCGGGTCCGGGGAGCAACCACAGAGCATCAATTATAAATGCACTCGATAAATTATTTCCAAGTATAAACTTGGCTTTCAGGCACTTCAACAGCAGCATCAGCAGCCGGAGCATCTGGCCAGGTGGCAAACACACACAGACACACACACACACACACACACACAACTGACCTGATTTATACGCACACATACGAGTGGTATTAAGTACCTTTCATGTGTTTACAAAATAATTTTTGTTTGCTTAAGTTTGAAGCAAGTTTTCCAACGGAAACTATGAGTACCCGAAGACTGGAAGCTCTCTTTCTTGAGCTTTGTTTCCCGTTTTATTTTGCCTTCTTATTTGTGCGGGGACTCGGGCTCGGGCTCGTGTTGGTGTTGGTGTTAAGCACTTCCGTTTGGCTGCTTGGCTGATTGGCTCCTGCCCGACATGCGTTCCCCGGCCGTGCGGCAGAAGTCTACAACGGGGACCGACCTCTGTGGCTTCCAGCTGCACTTGCACCTTTTGGCTTCTGACAGTTCTCACTCCATGCTTCCTCTCACTCTCCCACTCGCTTCCCCTCTTTCTCTTTTCTCTGCTTGATTTTTCATTAAGTTCCCCGTTGGAGTACCAGCGTAAGCCACTCCTTTGCTGCTTTTCTTCTCCCCGAGTACCGTTAGTAAGAATTATTTTCAATTAGCCCGCAACCTGACTGCGGAGCAGGAAAATTGATGGGGAACAGTTTTCCGTGTGGTTATTTTTCTTTGAGCTGAGACGCGCTGGCCATTTTTCTTATTTTTCCTGAAAAAATGCATTGGCGGTTATAATGCTTAACCAATGGCAAATCGCCAAAGCAAATATCGACAATATATGTACATATGTATATGTGTATGTATATGTTTTGTGGATTCAGAATCCATTTGCTTTGAACTCTTTAAAGCCAAAATAAATATTATTTTATACATACATATGTATGTATGTATACTACTTGTGACAAATAGCTAAATAAACCACAAACGCAAAATTAAAATTATTATATGTACTGCACAACAAAATTAGAATATTTTTGGTAAAAATAAAATTTGTTTTCAGATCAATAAATCTAAATAAAACTAGACAGGAAAGCTAGCGTCGAGTGCCGAAAGTTGTAGTACCTTTGTAGAAGCTTTACGCATTCACCTTTTGTCTCTGTAGAGGAGAAACAAGTACGCAAATTGGTTTAATTAAGGAATATATATAAATGTTTTTTTGATCGTGGTCAGAGCTGCACTGCTTACATATGTATATCAGCAGCATATCAGCTGCAGCAGCAGTCGAAAGCTCAGATCAGATGCAAGCGAGGCAATGACGTATATAAGCTTAGCTAAGCAGAGAGCCAGCTTTTGGGAGAGAGCTTGCTGTGATAACATATGCAGGCATATGCATATCTTCTGTTGCTCTCCCTTTCTGCCGCGCTGCTTATCTGCTATTGATCTCGTTATGCTGTTAATATTGCTCCGCTGCAGCTGCTGTTCTCCGTCGCCAAGTAATTTTAAGCTGGTACCCAAAAACGTGTTGCACAGTGCTATTGACTAATGCTCTGATTAAATGTTTTAATAATTCTCACACAATATACATATGCCAACTCTAAAGCTTTGATTATGAATAACTAATTATTTGCACCGCTTTGTTTACTGAAAATGTGCATAAAAACTGTTGAACACACATCTCATTTCAAATACGAACACATGATGGCCAAAATTGACAGAACTTCCAATATCAATTAGTTTAAGGTTAATTAATAAACATTCAACTTATTTTTCTCTCCATTTAGCCGAAACAAGTTTCTGCATGTCCCAATCTCCATTCGATTCGATTCGATTCGATTACCTACCAACCACCCGAAAGTAGGCAGCACTTTGCGGAGCAGAACTCTGCCCCCCACCGCCCATAGCAAGGGAAACCTTTATCGCACTCGCATTCACAGCTGACAAGCCAGTAGTTTTGCTGTTGTTGTGGCTGTAGTTTTTGTTTGTTCCCCAAACAATTGCATAACAATGCGGCGGGCGTGTGAAGAATTCCGGCCCTCAACTTAAGCCTAACTGGAAAACTGGAAAGCTCGAAAGCTGGAAAAAAGGAAACCGAACACAAACTTTACCCATTTGCCCATTCAAATGCAAATCTGGGCGCAAATCTTCAAATGACTTCGATTGGTTTTCTGGTTACGGCTTTTGTTTGCGGGAAGGACTCTGCCCCGGCGCCTCCGCCGGACAAAGGACACTCCAATCTGAGGAGCACTCCTAATCAGAGTTCAGGGCGAACATGTAAATGCATTAAAACAATGGTGACCACAGCATTTGAACGAATTCCCAAAACCGAATTGAGGAGAAGTTTAATTTGGTGCCAGGAGTCCGAGTCCTTGTTCTCTGCCACCGGGTCGAATCTTTATGAGCGAAGGTCTCATTTGCATTTCTCTGAGAACTCGATTTCCGCTTGGTCAAGTGACATGATTGATACTCTCCACCGCCTGGCATCTGAATGATTCCTAGGGATACCCGAGCCTGGAGCCTCGGGGGCGGGGCAGGGCGTAAACACAACACCAGGAGCTTTGACACGCCGGAGCGAGCAGCAGGAGAAGGCAACATTGAGACGACCACAAGCGGAACAAGGAACAAGGAACAAGGACATGCAACCGAGCCAGGGAACAGACACGAGGCGACACGTTGCAGCTCTCACAATTTTGTAAAATGATTTTTGCCTCCAGAGATGGCAGAGGCTTAAGCAAATCGTGGGCCTTGGCCAGAGTCCTTAAAGCCCCGCAGAGACTCTGGGAGCTTGGGATGCCATTGAAGTATGTCAGGTCTAAGCCCTGAACGGGATCAAGATGTTGAAAGAGACATTTGATCCCGAAAACTGCACAAAATATAGCAGCAATCAAGGCATTCAAGTAAAAAGTGAGGAACTGCCACGCTGCCACACCTACGAGTGCCTATGATGGCCACCTTGACACTCGCTTTAAACTGTTTTTAGATACTCACTGCAACACACAACTACGAGTATATGTTATATTGGTGTGTGTGTATCTCGGATGTGGCAGATTCGGCCTGTGTGCCACAAGTTGAATGCATTTGTTTGTTTGTTCTGCTGTGTGCTGGTCTCCGGCTCAGACTGCAAACAATTAAGTTTGCATCTATGGAATGACACTTTTATTTCCTTGCGGCTGGCTGGCCGGGCACACCCAAAAAATGGGGCAGACACGCACGTACCAACATGTGCCGATGTCAGTGGCAATTTCTGTTTTTTGGCAACTCCACACAGTTGGAGAGGCCTTCTCCCCACCCGCCCGCGGCTGTCAGATGCAATGGAGAGGAGACTTGAATAAAATGTACTTGCAATAAATTTTCCACAGCTCCATAGAGCTGTATTTATGTACATATGTGCATATATATGTGCATATTATCTGTATACTAGGCAGCTCCTGTTTTTTGGCAGGCCACAAGGCACTTGTCCGATTTAAATATTTAATCTGATTTCATGTTTCAATGCGTTCTTGGAGCATGCTACATTACAATAATGCTGGGCATATGTTAGAGTAACAGAATTTCCTTAGAATTTCCTTAGAATTTCAGTGTCTGGAAGCCTCTTTAAGTGTCGTTCTGTCGTTCTGCAATTTAATTGCACTTAAAACACACTGTTTCAACGTTTGGCTGTCATCAAGCAGCTGCTCAGGAAGTTATGGCCAAGCAAATGTGGAATTAGTCAAAGTATTTAATTCTTGTGGCATTCAAGCATTGATTATTACGAATTTCGATCGAATTGATTGTCTTGATGAATGTGGCAACTAAAGTATACCAGAAACTTGTCTTCCTGAATGAGAAGTCATGGATTGCGTTGGTTCAATATAATTAAGGAACATTTTAAAACTAGATTAACACTTAGTCCTGTACAAGGGTCGATCGAAGACAGTATATTATTCCTTTCAATAGAAATAATACAATATTATTCACTACTCTTCGTTGAACTTTTTTGTGGTCTTTCAAGCATAGACCTGGTTCTAGGCCTAGGCTGATGAGCGGTCCTGTAGCATGGGACCCAAGGGTCGCATCAAAGATCCTTCGAAAACCAAGTATGGTGGGGCGGTGGGATGATTTATTGCTATTAAGTGCATTATTTTAACTACTCTAATTTTAAGGTACTTTTCAAAAGGTAAGCCTCAAGGTTCCTATCCTCCTACTACCCTACAACTCTCCGGCGTCGGACCTCCTCATAACCTCCACCATTCCATCGTAGAGCATGCTGTTGACGTCATTCCCCCAAATGAAATCGACGTGATTGAACTTCTCGTAGGGAATCAGCTCGTCGTGGACCACATTGGGCAGGAGGTCGCGCAGTCGCTCCACATCGCGGACCGCGGTAAGGAGATCGTTCTTGCTGTAGTACAGGGCCACCTTGCAGTCGACATTGGCCAGGTTGTACTCCGGCGGGGTGTCGGAGCCGTGGCGGCGACGGTTCTCCACAGCGCTGAAGTAGTCGTACTTGTAGAAGCCACCGCTGTGCACCAGCTGGGTGTAGTGCCCCAGGGACTTGAACGAGGAGCCAGCGACGTGTCGCACAAATAGCGGCACGAGGGTGACATTCAACTGCTGGGCATCGACGCCCATCAACTGCAAAAGGAAGTAGCTGCAGGTGTTCCTGAAGGCAAAGCTACAGATCTGATAGAACAGTCTCTGCCACACTTCGCCCTCCGGTGGAAAATCGTATATCCCCAGGGTTCTGGCGTAGAACTGAAAAATAAAGGATGGATATGAAAACTAGTAAATGTGGATAGCTTGTACTCGTACAGTCAGAGGTCGGATGTACTTCGAAGCCAACAGGACAAAGGGCGACTCAATGTAATCACAGAATACCACCGGCGCCAGAGCCTGCATCAGTTTGATCTTCTTCATGTAGCCGGGTCTCTCACTGCCCATTACCATGAAGGACGTGGTTCCCTGCGAGTGGCCAATGTAGTGGAGCTGCTGGAACCCCTTGGTCATGGCCAGAACATAGTCTATCGCGGCCGGCAGGTCGTACAGGCCGACCTCGTGGAAGGAGAAGTCCCAAAACTGGGGCATTTGCCGCTGGTAGCGCTTGTGCTTCCTCGAGTAGCGATTGCCCCGCGTGTTGAGCAGCCATATGTCGTAGCCGAGATTACTTAGCCTGTAGGCTAGCGATTTCTTGGGTCCCAGAACGAGGTACCCAACGGAACTGTCCTCCAGGCCATGGACCATCAGCACGGGCTGCGCCCCCGGCTTCGGTATGCGATGGGCTGTGAGCACAAAGCCATCCTTGGTCGTTATTTTGTGGACTTCCGCCTTATAGCCATACTTCCTAATCAGATCTGGCTGGAGGGGAATCATCATTAGTCTTAGTGGTCCCCCTATTGATGTCTCCTTTCTTACCGCCGGCAAATTAGCATCCTCTATAATAGATCTATCGTATTTGATAATATCCGAAGTCACAGTATCTAGGTGCAAGCAAAGCCAGATCACAGAACCGAACAATAGCATTAGTTTTTTTCTTCTAGTCATGTTATTCGTTGCCCTGTTTCCCCGATGCTTCTATGGTATCTCCAACCTTCAGTTAATGCAATTTTCCACATGCACTGTCAATGCTAGAGAGACAGCCCGAATGCTAGACTGTTTGCTAGACCATAATTAATTGGCCAATCAAGATCTATTTCTATTAAAGCAGATGCATGTAAACAGATGTTCAAATTGCACTCGAACTTGAATTTGAGAACGAAATGGTTTCACTTGAACTATTTATTTCTATTTGAATATATTACTTTTAAAATATTTCGGTTTATGTGAAAGTTCAATGAAAATTGTACTTTATTCATTATATTTATTTGCGGGTCTTCAATATCCCTGGCTACATCCTGTTCACATGTTCGGTGTATTCCTTTAAAACGAGTCGTAATGTTTTTCAAATCAGAACTATTCCCGCTGCGCGATCGACTGCCACTGAGCACTGGCATCCAGTCGGATGCCTTATTTGATGGCTAATTTCAGCTGGCGAGGCTTATTAAGTCGCTCCCCTCCTTGACCCGCTCGCATTGCCGACTACTCACGAGAATCAGGGCAATTAATATGCATAATATTGTAAACTCTCATTGTTTATAATGTATTAAACGAGTTTTTATTGGCGCCCAATGGTAACTGCAAGTGGCAGTAGAACAAGTTAACAGTCGGATAAGGTCGGGCGAAATTGACGTGAAAGCTGGAAAACCCAAACCAACTAGCAAATCACACATAATTGAAAAAATCTGACACTAATCACAATTGATAGGATTTGCAATTGAATCTGCCACTAACAAGGAAATTAAGTTATTACCCTGTTACTCTGGAGGGTGATCCATTTTCAACGAGAATTCTCAGATAGACATACCTTTTTCTCAGAAAAGTGTTGCATGGCAGTTTCTAGGTCACTTGAAGTAAGGCAACCCTCCCAATTAACAATTGGGAGCAATTAACTGTTCCTCGGTTTTCTTAAGCGAAAATACAAATTCCTATTAAACAGCACCTGCCCAAAACAAAGTTTTAAAATAGAGTCGCGAAACAAGGAATTCCCGAAGCAGCAAAATCGATATCATCCAAAGGTCCTTTGAACTGTCACTGGCATACGGTGGAATATCCAAAGCGAAATCGCACCACAGCAGAAAAAACTTTGTGAGCCGTGGCAAGGGCCGTGGCTCTACTTCTATACCCGATACTCAGGCTGCTCGTGTGCTGATGTCTCGCTCACCTCCGGCAGATCACGCACACTGCACGACGAAGAGTGTATGAGAGAGAGAAAAAAAGAGAGAGAGAGACCGAGAATGAGAATGAGTAAGCGCGTGGAAAGCTTTGCGTAGCCACTGCAAATTCATTCGTTCCTTCTGGCTATGATAATATATAGTACGATACCAAATTTGATTTCTCTAGCTCATACAGTCTCAGAGAACTAGGCGATTATCCCTCGGTGCTCGTCTTTTGATGCTGATCAAGATTATATATACTTTATGGTGTTGGAAATGCTTCCGTCTGGGTGTTACACACATCCAGATCCAGCACAAAACAAATATATTCGTAAGGGGGGTTTCAAAAAAGGCTATGACATCCAAATTATCTTGACACAAGGATTACTGTAGTTGCAGCTTTACATATGATTTACAACGATATACATATATAGTAAGAAATTTTTCAGAATTAACACTCTGCAATTAAAAAGTGTTTTAAATTTATGTAATATTATTTTTGTTGATTCTTGATCTTCGTATATTAATACATATTTGTACGCATGTATGTCTGTTTGTAAGTATTCAACAGTAAAGTAAACTAAATCCAAATAAATACCTAACTATTGCTGACACCTCTGACCCGCTTTATACTGTAAGTTCTTAAACTAAAATAATATATAGATAGCTTATGCTAGGTTCCATCGTTCCCCCTTCATATAACGGAGTTCTCCTGATTTCGCATGTTCTCCAGCATGCGATCCCAGAGTAATTCCTTCCCATTGATGGCCCATATGAAGTCCAGGTGGTTGAACTCCGGATCGTCGACCAGGTACTTTGTCACGACATTTGGAAGCCTCTTATCCAGCATTTCCACATCCTCGGGAGGCGCCAGCCAGTCGTTCTTTCCGTAGTAAAGCGCCACCTTAGCCCGGACATTCTCCAGCTTGTATAAGGGGGGATCCAAGGTGCCGTAACGCCAATGGTTCCTCAGCCATCCATAGTCAAACTGTCTGAAGGCCCCAGACCTTTTCAGCTGGCCAAAGTGTTGCATTTGCTTGGTAGAAGCCCCGGCCGGAGAGTGGCCCACAATCACCGGGAGCATGGTCTCGTTCAGCTGCAGCTTATCGAAGCCAGTGGTCAGAAAGATCACGTTCGAGCAGATCTCCTTGGTGATGGTTGTCTCGTCGCAAATGATCCGATTGAACATGCTGATGAACTCGTTCTTGGGCAGAAACTCATGGACGCCGATCAGCTTAAGGACCACCTGAAAGAAAAAGTCGAAAAGTGAGTTTACTGAAGAAGAATGTTGAAGAGTGATGTGGATGGGAAGAAAAGAAATGTTTAAGCTTGGAAAGATGTGTCAAAAAGATTCTTTCTGCAAATCTTGTTTGTAATAATGATCTAAAAACATTTTCCCAAGCAAAAACTAGATCTTTTTTGATGGAAATCGTAGGATTAGGAATAGGAATAGGAACGGGGTAACTTACGCTCACCGATAAATGCCATTCGGCCAGGAAATTGACGACAGGACTCCGGCAATGCTTCAGGAAGGCCACTGGGGCCAGGGCCTGCATAAAGAAGATCTTCTCCATGTACTCGGGTCTCTCACTGGCCATGATCCAGAACACTACCGAGCCCTGGGAGTGGCCAATGTAGTGCAGCTGACTGAACCCCGTGTTGTTGAGCACAAAGTCGATTGTGCTCGGTATGTCGTGCTTGCCCATTTCGTGGAACGTAAAGTCCCAGAACTTGGCATGGCGCGTACTGTACTTGACGTGGTTCCTGGAGTATGTGTTGCCGCGTACGTTGGCCATCCATACATCGTAGCCCTGCTCGTAGAGCAAGTATCCTGTGGGGGTTCGGGGGAGGAAGGCTCAATCAGAATGGGGTGTTCGAGGGAGAAAACTCTTGCCACTTACCCAATCCTTTGTTGGGTCCCATCATCACCCAAGTGGCCGAACTGTCCAGCAGGCCATGGACCAGGAGCACGGGCATTGCGCCAGGACGGGCGATCCTGTGAAGACCGAGTATGTAGCCATCGTCTGTCTCCACGGTATGATTCTCGGCTGGGTAGCCATATTTTTGTAGCAGATGGATCTGAAAAAGGACAAAGGTTCATATGATGATTTTTGTAATATCTAATGATGATAAAACATCGCAGACAGACTCCATTCGAAATGCATTTGCAGGTCGGCGCTCCAAGTCGGAAGAATCTTGCTCTTTGTCATGTAATAAAATATGACCTCACCTTTCGACTATTAAAGTAAGTCAAAATAAAAAAAAATCAATTTTGTTGCGTTGCGTACTTTCGACTTGAACATTTTACAATACTCAAATCTATGCGGTCATAACACCAGGTAATGCCGGTTTATAACAAACACCTTCGACGAAAATACAATGATGATTAAACCAAACAAAAAACAGGCGCAAATCGAACTGCTCAAAAGATTATTTAGCTTCTGTTCAACATTTGTTTGGGTTTGGGTTGGGGTTTGGTCATGGCTTACCGTGTCCAAGTGCGAATCTTCCAATATATTGGGATCCACATCGCTCTCTATCCGCAGGTTACTGTCCGCGACTATGGAGCGCCCCAGCCAGCTGGGGGACTTGAATTGGACGTTGAAGAGGGTGACATTGCCCAGCACCATTGCCAAACCGGCGCTGATCTCCGGCTGGACCAGGCACAGGCATAGGGCGCCGATGAGCAGACTCGCCGACGATGATAATGACATCTCTGTATCTGTCTCTGTCTATACTCTATATACTATATAGTGTGTGTTCTCCCTCTCGTTGGGGGGTTAGGATCTCTGGGGTCTGTTAGCTGCGTTCGGCTCGAGTCACAAGTGTCGACTGACGGCAGTTTCAATTTGCAACCGACAAAGAAACTTTCTGCGAGAGAGAAATTCGACTCTATTGTATGTCTGTGTGCAGCAGGGTCCGGGCATGTACTAGCACTTGTTGGTGTACAATACTTTCAATTAATTTTGAATCACCAAAACAGAAATATTGGTCAGGCACGGCGATAACCCCGGTTGGCCGCTTTCATCACTTGCTGATAAGCCGCGCCGAAGAGTCCGGCTTGAATCGATCTTGACTTTGACTCCGCTTACGCACGAGACGCCAATCCGTCCCTCAACAACAACTGAAGATGTTTTTTTGTATTCGATGGGGGTCTACCTTGGCTACAATGCCCCGACCAATAAACAAACTAGTCAACATGTTGCCAAGCCAATTGATTTCATAATATTTCTGCTCCATCCCACTCTCCCGACTACCCATGCTACGGTGTATAGCATTTTGTTGCTGGCTGGAAACAAATTGTTAATTATATTTATTACAGGCACCATTTTATAATTGATCATGCCTATCATGATGTGTATTGTAGGGTATATATAAGTCCATATGTAATAGGCCTTGGTGCTGCCCACCCAGCACTTGACCTAATAATCATTATCTGAAAATACCCCATTTCCAGCTGATTAGAAAACTATGAAGAAGGTGAAATGTTTTACTAGTAAGTAGATTTACTCGAAGAAAACAAAGTCCGCTTCTAAAACTATCAATTAGATTTCAAAGCTTTAAGAAAATTATTTGTGACAGACTGAAATTGAGCTGAAGAATACAAAACTATACTTGAATGGCATATCCGTAGTAAATTTATATTTATATGGTTATAGGTACCTACAAGTATTATGAATACTTCCACATTCAAAATTGAAACAAAGAAACGTGAATCACATTAAATAGATTAGCGATGGATCCGAACAAAGTGCAACATTTGCCCGAACAGTAGGCCCAATTCCATTAAAATACACCCAATATTTTCTAAAATTTATTCGCAATTGCTTCTCTTGAGCGCCAACCCCCGGCTCACTCGCTCGCGCCGATGTGAGTAAAGTATCGTATTAATGGTAAAACTTGTTGCCCAATTTTCTTCTTAGACGTTCTTTTCAACTTGTTCATACGGTATTCAAAATTTCCATCCCTAGTTTTAGATTCTATTCTCAGACTCGAATATTTTCCACTTTGTTCATTTGCCCATTGAAGCGGAACCCCCCGCCATCGTGCAAGTACGTGTATGAAACACTCATCAAATTACTCATTTATTGTCCACAAAATAAGAGATTACCTATTTACTATTTCCCGATCAAAGTTCAATTAACTACGCCAGACTGCAAGCCGAGTAGGTATTACTGCCTGTCATTACCAGATATGTACATATAAACAATTTATCGCACTTTGATAGGAGCTCGATAGCCGAGAAAGAGACAGAGAGAGACGAGACTCGAGTTCGGACACACGAAATTAATTTTAGAAATATTTTATTTGCTGACGGTAAACAATAATCCAATAATGGATGAGCCAGAGATAAAGAGGAGCGAAATCACAGCGTGACTGGGAGGGGGAGTACGCTTATCGCAGTGCACAGCAGGGGGAGTTGAGTGGAGCTAAGCCCGAGAGCGGGCCCTAGCCCGAGCCCGAAACGAGTGTTATTCAATTATTAAGTGTAGCTGATTCTGCATTTAACGAGCAAACACATGTACATACATATGTATATGTTTATATGCATACAATTTGTATATACATCTGTAGGTTTACAGTCCCGGCAGCACTGCTATAGATCCATATGCAAAATAGCACAAACAATGTGCAGTTCATTAAATGAGTCGTTGAGCATAAATATGTATATATATACATATATATAAATTTATGCATTTTATTCCCCTCCCCTCGACCTCTGCAATGTCAACCGATTCGTTATTATCATATGAAAAGCGTTTCAGTATCAGCTTGAAACTCGTTTTCGGGCCTGGCAACATGTTGCCACCCAGAGATGTTGCCGAGAGTCAATCAAACTCCCTTCTGGACAATCCGATGACGTTTGGAATAGCTTTTCACATTATTTACACTGCGGTTGATTTTTGGGGACATCCAATGCAATCGAACGCAAATATCCGAATTGCCAAGCTAACCACTCGATTCCATGACATTTTCAGCCTTTCAAAAGCCCTCTGGGTGCCCGTTGGGAGCCGATACCGCAGGCCGCAAACAATCGACTGACACAAAGAGTGGCATATTGCCTCCAAAAGTTATATTCAAACTTTTAATAGTTCCCAAAGTTGGAGGGCGAGAGAGAAGGGGGGCGAACTGGTGTAATAGATGCCAAAAGTGAGTTATGTTGTGGGAATGGGTAAGCTGGTCAAAAATGTATATTCATTCGAGATATCTTAAACGTAAATCAAAAGTCATATTTACCGATTACATAAGTAGCTAATAAATTCAAAAATCTTGACATGTGCGAAAGTCCGACTATCCGATACCCGATCTTTAGATCTGTACAACACCAGAATGAGAGAAAAAAGAGACTTAAGGACTCGAACTCTATGCCCTAGAGCCCTAACCGACTCAGATGTGTCTTTATTGTGGTATTTATAGCATCTCACAAACATCCGAATTTGTAGCAACAGGTTTCGGTCTTAACTTTAATATCCAGTACTTTAACGAAAAGAAGAGTCGCAGCAAAATACCGGAAAATCGACCACTTGAAGGCAATGAAAGAGCGACCTACTGAATACTCCACCCTCCACAGTGAGGAAGGGGCAAGGAAATCAATGTGAAATTCGCATAAGATGCGGGCGTTTGAGACCCCTGGGATTCGGGAGGGTGAAGGAACTCCCCCACGAAAAGACAAGAAGAAATTTTGCAAATATGCGAGTCTGAGCCGTAAGTGCTCAGTGTGTCAATGTGGCAAATGTATCTGTTCTCGAGGCATTGTATCTGTGTATCTTCACCTCGTTGCTAACCCTCTGAACACGTACTCGACGCCCGGCACTCGTTGCTCGGATCAATTTCCAGAACAAGATTTATGCGCTTGCCAAAAAGGGGCCATAAAATATTTATTGTTTTCGACTTGCACGGTCCTGATAAGCAGCAGCATCCCGATAGGCATGAGGGCAGGCGAGAGGATGCTCGTGCGGGGCCAGTCACGAGCAGAACAAAGAGCAACAGGAACAAGGGGCTAAGTAGCCCACACCAGGACCCGGCTCCTTATCCTGTAATGCGATACGAGTTGGGTGAGCGGGGCAGAGCCGTGAAATATTACCTTTAAATAAGAATTTATTTTCATGCTAAATTCGAAATTTAAATGAGAGTACCCAGCATATCCCTTCCATCCTGTGAGAATAACGGAGAGCACAGAAATCAATTTCAATTACAAAAGAGCAATCAAGGAAGATAGGATCTTCGGATTGGTCTGGAATCTGTATAATCAAGCATATAGGTTGTTGATTTATCTATAGGTACTGAAAGAGAGAGTCCTGCATGAATCCACAGGAATCGATAGATATATTTTATTTAGATACTTGTGCGCAATGTATTCCGATTTCGACTCATCAGAACAGTAGTTGAGGTCATAAAACTCTATTGAAAGCAACCCGCTTTTAACGACCAATCCCGGGAAATATTCGTTCTTTATGGCCTCATGCAATAAACCCTATTCGTTTCAACAGTAAACAATATCGTTTATCTATCATAGAAATGATTCAGGTCTGTACATATCCCGCACATATGACATTCAAATGTTTTCCGATTCAATGTGTCTGAGCTTCACTTAACCCTTCAGTGGCCGCAACATCTGCAGCGATTTATACAAATAATTAACTGTCAACTGCAGGCAGCAGTCGGAATTTTCCGCTTTCCTTCCCCTTCCGGCTAAGCGACACCTTGAGGGATCAGCACGTCTGCCACTCCCTACACACTCGACTCGGTTGAAATTATAGGCAATTTTCGCTGGCGTTCCGAAAAATGTGAAAAATGAAAAATATAAATAAATGTTGATGATTGTTTGGCAGCAGGGAGGCAGCAGCTACAGGGACGGAGGGACAGGGTGATTTATAAAAATGTGCGAGAAAAATGATTTTTGCACGCCTCAGAGCAGTTGACAGGCTCAACCATCAGCCATCATCCAGGAGTCCTGGGCCCAGAGCCCTGAGCCATCATCCACTGCTGCTCCTCTCGACTGCCAAAGTCATTAACTCGACAAACCGCGTCGCCGTCAGCAGAGCAGCCAGAGATGGCAGGGATGGCAGATGGGATTCGTGAGATTTGTGATTTGAATATAGAAAGTCGGGCATGGGGTGCTCTGAGATCCATGATCTCTCAGAGGGATATCCCTAGTTAGGAGATCCGAAAGTAAATCATTATTTAAGGTTACTATTTGACTGAACTTACATATATGCTATGGAAATAATCCAGTTATCAGAATAATCGGCTTGTCGAATACCTATCGTAACCATCCCTGACGTGGGCGTGGGCGTCGATGCCGGCAGAGGCGAGTTATGTGTAAGTGGAGCGGAAGTGCACACATACACAGCACACACAGCCTTTGTGGGTGCTGTTGCAGGGGGCGGGGGCGGGGGCGGGAGCGGGAGCGGGGGAAGCGGTGAGGCAAAGGCAACTCGAAAAATGTTAAGGCATTCGTTATGTCAACAAGCAACAATAAGAGAGAGCGCTAGAAGGAGGGAATGAGAGACTGCTGAGAGGGAGAGAGATTCTTGTTAGGCACATTACATCACTCATTTTGAAGCAGGCTTGTGCATGTCCGTGCCCGCCTGTATTTGTGTCTGTACTTGTATTTGTGTTTGTAATTGTAAGTCAGGAGTTTCCTAACGACCAACTTGCTTCTCCTCTCCTCTGCTCTCCCCTCCACTCCAATCCGCTCTCCGCTCCGCTGCACCGTTCTGCTTATTTTTTTAATGAAGTGCAGCTCCTGTTTCTGCAACAGACTCCCCGCCCCCCACTCTTCCGCCCTGCCTGCCTGCCCCGGCCACTCTCCGCTTGCAACTGCAGCCAAGCGACAAATGCCGCGCATTCTCATTTCCACAAACGTCTCGCCATCTCTGCGGTGGATGCGGCACAGGAGAAGCCGTCGCACCGGGACGCAACCTGCACCCGGACCCTTCT